CACACACACACACACACACACACACACACAAACACGCACACACAAACACAAACATACGCACACTATTTTTTGTCTTCACTTATTTGCATATCATATTATTAAGTCATCATCGGAAACGATGGACAACCAGAGGATTTGCATATTAATCAATAGTTCTTGCTTATAAACCTGCCTTTCTGACAACACTCCAGTGTCACTGACGAAAGGTATATCCAGCTGCTTAAGTAACTGTTTTTTTACTTATCTTATTACCTGGATGTCTAACCTTCACCGACACACACACACGTGTATATATATATATTATACTATACATACACACACACATATACATACATATATATATTAAGTGCATTGTAAAGTGTGGACACGACACAATTAGGCGTGTACGCTAGTACGTATACAATGTATACTATGGTGGGAATATGCTACAAAATGTGGTATATATGAATATGGTACAAAACAGGTTATATGAATATGGTACAAAACAGCTTGGCGAAGTTCATTGCTATAGCATTTGCCAACGGGCCGGGTTTGCACTTGTCAGATGACAGTCTGTTATTCCTCTCTATTTCCCCAGACGAAGTGATATAAGCCAATGACTCATCACCAAGACTACCCCTAAGTCTCACAGAGACTCATACTAAAGCTAAGGCTTTAATAACGGGCGATACAGTGTTTTCCCAGGACATATGATCTGAGTGTGGAATGCATATACATATAGCCTTTGTTGAGATAAGCAAAGATGCAGTTCACTGGGTGTGTTATTAATATTCTTGTGCTGATAATGGGTGATTGAGTAGACGCGCTGGTATCAGTCTGAGTCTAAGGATGTTTTCTTCCTTTTTATGCCTGACTATGATCTGCCAGCAACAGAAATATATACAGAAAGGTTTCATAATTCGTCGATGAAGGTTAGACATCCAGGTAATAAGATACGCGAAGAAGCAGTTACTCAAGCAACTGGATATGATTTTGGAAACGGTCAGACGTTTCAGGTAGTATCCACTAGCTTTCGTGAGTGACTGAGAGAACTGCATTTCTCCTCTGGTCTCTCAGTCACAGACGAAACCTAATGGATACTGGCTGAAATGCCTGACCGTTTCCAAAATCATGTCCAGTTGCTTGAGTAACTGCTTTTAGGTTTCATAATTCTCTACGAGTTAAGTCTCCCATTCTTTAAAACATACTCCAAATTGGTAACCATGCTGTGAAGTTATCCTATAGTTGATGCTAGCCTCTTGAAAGAAAGTTTGAAACATATTTTATTCACATATAGTTCCCGAGTGCCTTTTGATTTGCTGCTTCAGATAGCTATAGGATAGACAGTCATTTTGGCTATATGCATAATTCTTTGTGGTCAAGTCAAGGTTCATTTCAGTGGATAGGCCCAATATATCTCTGAGATGCGTTTCCTGTGCCGTAACAAATTTAGTTAGGCGTGGGCCGTGTCTTGTATGCACGAAGGATACTCTGTGGTATAGGATAGGATTTAGTTCCGGATGTAGCATGGTTTTCACAAGGTTTAATGTCTCTTAGGGAATTACTAGTGTGAAGAAGACTTTTCTCGCTACAGTGATGCTCTAATGGTCAGAGACATCTGGTTTCAGACAGTAAAATTCTAGCGTAACGTACAGACAGACCGTGAAGTGATTATTTTCTGAGAGTTTTCCCATGTATCATTTTAATGAGCTATAGTATGCCCTGTAGAGTGTTGCCCTTAGGAAGGCGACAGACGGTGATCACCAAAACGTCGGCGTGTACATGTTGAGGGGGACAATAAAAAGCAGAACTAAACGATAGTTCAACTCACCAATTCCCTACTTTGCTAGACTGCTTAAAGATTCGAATACTGCCTGATTATGCAGCACGGAGGACTTTTAAAATTTCAATTGTTGTTAAATGCTGTTTGTAATTATGAGTATATTTAGTGTAATTAAGAATAGTGATTTTAAGTATATGTAAAGGAGTATGTAATTCAGTCGACAATCTGTGAAATGCTTCTTATTGTTTTACTACTACAAATAAACCATTCCTTCATACATGTAAAACCCTGCTTGTGAACAAAGAACTAACGTCAATTTTCTATCTGAAGTTATGTATGCCTTCCAAATATGCTTTTGTACTAGAATTCTTTGAATATCCTCAGATCAGACATTTGCTATCTCAGATACACATTACGGTTAGCAGACGTGACACCAGGTCAAAGTTTCCCATAATCACTGTAGATGGTTTGTCGATGTCGAGCAGGAAGCAAGATGCTGGAATGATGCATATCTACACCTGCCTTCGCCCTTGGGGGGTTCGGTAAATTGAGCAACAAGGTGACATTGGTTTCCCTGGTCCCACCTGTCACACTGTGTCTTGTCTGATGCTGGCCCCAGGGCGGGTTCCCGATAGCGCTGGTTGGTTGCTTGATGAATGAGAGTAACACTGCCATGTCGACAAGCCTTCCGGGAGAGATTGTGTTGATCAGAACTTTATGAACACGTCAGCGGAAAATCTCTTAATAACTAAGACAGAGAGTGAGCGTAATGGCCAGTCGATATTGTGTAATTGACAAATGGAGCATAGCGGACTCAAAATGTCGTCGCCTTATCTGTATCATGTCACAAGGCTCTTGATGATGCCCTTTTGGTGTTTGCCTCCTTGTCAATGTTCCCCAAGGGGACGATATTGTGATACGGCGTCCCCAGAGTACCAATTAGGTTAGTTAAAGTCCTTCCTTCACGATATGGTCTATAGGCCCCCAAACTTCGTTTTTATGGCACCTGGTCCACACAGATATAGCAGTGTCTATTACCAGCCCACTGCCCCTGGTTTTCTGTGTTCAACTGTCTTACCAGAGTCGAGTACTAAACAGAGAAAGCAGTATGTGCAAACGTATCCCAAAAACCACATTTAAACAACTTAAAATATTCTTACTTTATGTTTTAAATATCCACATATCGTGCTAGTTCTGTGGTCTTTTAATGTTGCAGAAACAGGTCAACTTAAAAGGGTCCGAGTATGATACATTCGGGGAGTACATAATCGTATGTCGCTACCTTAACATCTTGCAAAAGGCTTCATTGCATCTAACAAACGAGGTACTACGTATCTCTTCTCCAGAAATCCTCCAGAATACCCAGATCGGTACTCATTGTCACCAGAGGGCAATTTATTACCCCCACATGGCACCGTATGTTCAGATCAATGCTTAAGTGTATATTAACCTGTTGTCTTTTCTATCATTCCGTTGTAAGCAATTTTGACGGGAAGAAGACTCTTTGAACAACTACTATGATGAAGTAACACAGTGTCAGAGGGAGCATGTGGCAGTATTGCTGTGATCATTTACCCTCATATATCCGACACCTTGTCAGGTTCCGGGATGCATCTCCAACGTGCAAGCCCCATAGTTCAAAGAAACGCAACCCTTTGAAATGATTATTGAAGCTGCGAAGAGTGATGAAGCTGCAGCTTCTGCAAGTTGTCACAGTTCCAACTGATGAAAAACCACTGTTACAGTACGAAATGTTGAATTTACCAATCATGGTAACGCCGGCAATGTTTTTTACTTGAAGACGTTACCACTGGTAAATCCAACTTTTCGAAACATAAACATTAGTTATGCACATCTCTCAACAATAGGAGTATTTAGACTATCCAGCATGGAATCTTAATTGGTAAATGGATAATGCTTTGCTCAATAATTTTTCAGTATATGAACCATTATTCCATGATTTTGCTTACACGGTGGGTATAATGAAGTATGTGTCTACATAGTGGGTATGATAATCATATTATCATAATTATCATTATCATATCATATTTAATGAAATATCTTCCATAAGTGCCCTAGGTTGTCCAACGTTGCCCTTTTTGCAAAATCGCAAGGACTATTCTCAAGCCGATGGCCCTACCGCTCTTACCTTCGACCCATGTAAAATAGGGTGTTACACCCTTGCTCGACACCTTCGTAAGAAACCATTACGTGCCCGTCTGGGAATTGTGGCCCGTGGCAACATGCACTTATTGCAGAAAGCACTGCGACTTATGACTCGGGGATGATATATTGGCAGACAGGCAATCCCCAGCAAAGCGATAAATCATGTTCTGTCGGGAAGCCTCGCGTGTGAAGACCGTGAAGATAGCCCTCAGGGTTGGTGGTACCAAGCCCGTTACGTAATTAACTCGATCTTAGGTGTGGGTACCGGTTTTGACCGGTACAAACATGTAAAGACTTGGTAAAATGAAAACAAAAGTCGTGGTCCCAAACAAAATACGTTTATTGCAAATCCATGCCCGAAGGCTAATTAGAAGTTACAAACATAAAAGAACATTGAAACAGAGTATAAAATAACTTCAAAATATACATAATGAAATCTTATTGTCTAAAACTATTTCTATGTCTAAAACTATGTCTGAAGGGTTTGACTTCTCCTTTGTAAACCATGGAAGACGTAATATTCCACCTAAAATTTGTGGGTTTTGTTAGGTTAAAAGAATAATAGTTTTTTGTCTGTAAGTTTTGGAAAATTGGGATAAATTGTAGAGGTTTGAATAGGTTTGTACAAAGTACAAAATACGTATACATGTATATGACCATATGTTTGTGAGATCATGGTTGAGGTTTGGATCTTGGGTTCGAGTCCACCAACATGCCCTTGAAAGGCACCTTACATGACTTTCCTAGTTTTAGGCCAGCAATGAAATGCGCTACTAAAACACGTCCTAGTTCCCCGACTAAGAGGTTGGTACCTACTACTTATCTAAGTAATTGAGGTGTTTTCATGTATTTTGGGCAGCCTATTACATCTTTGTAGAATAGGTCCAGTTTCCTACTAGAATAAAACTAGAGCCATACGCTTGGATCATGGGTCAATGGAATATGAAGTAAGGACTATATGTTGTTATGGGATTGAACGGATAAGTTTAGAAAGAAAGTTTAGTATGATTATTATATTGATGCTGTGATTAATATGATGTGGATAGCAACAGTGTAAATGATGGAATATTACCTCCAAAGTCACTCCTCTTAGGAAGATCCCAGTCATCTTGTACTTCCGACCTGTGGGAACGGCAACCACAGAACAACATTAGGAACGAACCCATTTCCACTCACGATGAAGTGCAACTTCATCAGAAGTGCAACCTCAGCATGCACACATGATGCCCTCTTCTCCTTGACCGACCATTGTTGGGATAGACTCCTAACGCTGTTACTCCCCAACGTTTTCAAACGCGATTATTGCTAGCGAGCGAGATGCACGCGTTTTGAGCCGAGGTCGTCTGAGGGCAAAGCTTTGGGGTGGTCCCTAAGCTAGTTTAGTCATAGAGAGTAGACTAAAAATCCATTTGGACACGGACATTGACTGGCCGAATCACTTTTTCTCCGAAACAGTCTTCTAAAGCTCTACGTATAATGCACATAGAATCAACACTATCTCGTTGGTCTCAGGCAAACACTGTTGCCACTGACATCAAAACTTGTCGTAAGACTACTTTTAGTACTTTGCATAAATGTAGAGGATCTGCAAGATTTGCAGAAACAGTTTGCATGACATTACATTGAATGATATACCTTTATCGTACGTTTGTGGTCTTACAAGCTAAGTACAGGTCATGAATAAAGCAGAAGTAACAAAATTACAGCAATATCTTATCAAAACTATATACTAATGGTAGCTACTATGTGCATGTTCAACTTCTTACTTCTTAAAAAATATGTAGATAGTATATGAGGAAATCGAACGAATGGTATATGGCTTCATTCATGTATAAATAGTTACCTTTTCGAAAAAATGGCGAACTACCTTGTTCCTCGGAGCCTTCCAGAGGGCCCGACGGTGATTGGATGTCGTGTCCTGTCACGTGACCAGAGCCTGGGGACGGCGCGATTGGCCAGGCGGAGGGCATCGTTCGATTCGCCCTCCGAGCAATGACCTGCAGCCACTGTTGGTCAGAATTTCCCGTTTCCCGAGGGTGTGGTGGGTCTTCCCGAGGGGGTGGTGGGTCACCTGATGAAATAAAGCAACAACATGAATACAACATTCAAACTGGGGGTTTAAAATCACCTTTATTACAATGTACATACAAGATTAAAGGTTGCTTGGGTAAAGCCTATAGGACAACCATAGGAGGGCGCAAGGCAAGTAGGACAAAATGATAAAAGTTATCAGGCATCAGGCATATGCATTTTGGTGTTTAAATTAAAAATCATTTTTACATAAAATTGCAAGTACATTATATACATATATGTAAAAAATACGTTTTAGAGATATTGAAAATCGAGCCTGTTTATATATAATACATCAGATTTATCTTCTACAAGGGAACAGCCCTGAAGTACATTCCCGAGCCGGTGCGTTTTTAGCACAGTATATGGCATAAGATGCACAAAGTGTGCAACTCCCCAGTCTTAATTGTGTCTGAATCTAATAAGGTGCCTTGTTACACTTGGAACTAATGGTTCAATATGTCGGTGAAGGTTAGACATCCAGGCCATAAGATACACACAAAAAACCGTTACTCAAACAACTTGATATGATTTTGGACAATCAAGTTGCTTCATTATCTTCTTTTTTTTTAAATGGTTCAATATTAATTAATTTCACTCTACAAGCCCTCTGTTGTACACAGGGATTGTAACATGCTGATTCATAATCCAACAACTGTCACTTCCAGAAGAATTTGATGTTATAAGCCATGATTAACAATGATGATTACAGCGTAAATCTAAATCTTGTACTAAAAGCAAATTGCTGATTGCTGCACCTACAAGATAATCTTCTGAAGAAGCCATGCACATCCCAACTGCTTATTGCTTTTTGACTCATTAATCTGATTGAGATTAGCAAAAAGCAATCAGAAGTGTTCATGGGTGGTAAGTGCTTGCACTTAACATTTGATGAGCGGTTATAAGCCTTGTGGTTGCGGTTATGGCGAACGGGGAACTTGTGGTCATCTGAATATTTATGAATGTCAACCAATTATCATGTGAAATATGCACAGTCGTTACCCTTTGTAAGACATAGTGTACATGAATCTTGAAGCAGCCCTTACAATCTGTGCCCATGCTTGTTCTATGCTAATGCCGACACCGACAGCTGCCCTCTTACGATACAAGCAATGTGGCTGTCTGAAAATAACGCTACCCCGAGCATATAAATTGTAAGGAAAAGAAAGAAAATACTTTCTTGTCTTTAGTAGAAGAAAGATTCGAAAGAATAACTGTATGTGTTATTCTAGATATTGGAGACAATTAAAAACTAGAAAGGCAACATTTGCAAAGCGAATGCATGATGTTTACCTTCGCATATGGTCTGCGCTGTTAAATTTTAATATAGTGACAGGAGTCTAAATCCCTCCTACTATAAAACTGCAACATTATGTAAGCCAATGCCAGTTACCATGGTGACAGACGGCATGGTTCAGGTCATTGACCAGGCCAGTGTTTGGAAAACAATATGTTTTCCTTCGGTAAACATAATGACCAGCCTTTCAAGTCACTAATAGTTTCCTTCAGGATGGTCATTTCAGTATTTCTGGCAGTATATGAGTGAATTTATCACGGATATACCGACTGCATGCAGAGCACTTACTGTCCATTATCCTCCGGTAATAATAGTGTCTGGCAACAGGTGTAGTCTTTACTCACGTTCATGCAGCTCTATTGCACCGTCTACATCAAACGCACATTGCTTTTGGGCGCACCAAGGACGAATAGACAATCAAAGTGGTCTTTAACTGGTCTTTGGCGAACCTGTTATTTCTTTAGGGGCTCGTTTCTGCCTATGGAATATATTTCAGCATGTAATTTAGTTAGTTTGAAGCAGCCTTTTTTCATTTCAAGCCAACAGCCAGAAGCATGTTTTCTCTCCTTTTGCTTCAAAGTCAGTTGATTACGTTTACAATTGCATTACGTTAAAACTGAGAAAGAAACGATTGGAGATTATGTTTTGCATGAACACCTGGCTAATCAACGCCAGCCGTAGGTCTTTAAGCTTCAACAGTGGTGCTCGACTGGTAGGAACGCAACAGAAGCCTACAGAGAGCCAAGCGTACTGTGTAATATGTAAATATACCGACAATGACGTTGTTACGTCGCTTAAAATTAGATTACGTATACAAATATCCACTAAAACTCTTCACCGATATATTATGGTTTTGGTAATAAAGGCCTTTGAACCAAACCTGGGTGTAGTATTTCAATCCAATCATTGGGTAACACATAAACCCTGGTTAATGGATGGTGGCGCCGGCAGGAGGAATTGATGGTTAGAAGTCATTTGTAACTGTCGTTCCTCACAATTAGCTGCTGACTGGCCTGGATCAACAACTGTATGCGTACCTTTTGTTGATCTATATTGGATAATCCTCGATGACAGGGTATTTTCCCAAGAAGGATAAGGCTTCTTGGGAAGGCTTCCATAGATATTGAATAGGCATTTTCACTGATCCCTTCTTGATTTATTTATTCATTTCTTCATCTAACAGTTATACTTGGGTTATATTGACAATATGTATCGTACATGTGTTCTGTGACCGGTCTAGTCAATGTTATGGTAATGATTATTCCGCTTTGAGCTACCCATAACCCTCTTCGTCTCCCAGCATGCATTGGGATCCATGACAAGTGCATAAAACTATGACGATTTTCCTTTATCCTTTTTTTACAACTAACAAGTTGCTAGCTCATTAAGTCAATTATCCCACAAGAAAAAGTCATAAACGATTAAAGGATTGAAGATGCTACTGTTATCTTTTAATCCACAAAGGAAATCCCTAGAAATTGGTTTACACTTTCTTCACTGTTATCTTCCTATGAATACTTGATAAGTAGATCTGCTGCCACATACGTAAACATGACCAAATTTCACAGTTAATTTGCAGAAACTATTGTGTTATAACCTACAAAACATAACGGAACAATATTTCAGTAGTGCCGTACGTAAAATTGATAATTAGATTTGCTGCCACATATACGTAAACATGACCAAATTTCACAGTTTGTAAATACTATTGTGTTATAACCTACAAAACATTACGGAACGATATTTCAGTAGTGCTGTACCTAAAATTGATTTAGGTCGGATATCTTAGTGGTCATCTCACAGCGGTACGAAGAGTTGATCCCAAGGCATGCTTCAATAACTGCGATAAGATTGCCGTAATCCTATAATCCAGTTGTAATATACAGACCTCGGTTATGACTCCATTCTGGTAATAGAGATGACCACCCCTGGCGCCATCACCAACAAACTGTTTGTGGTGTTCATCCGTTGCCGCTTCAAACATTTTGGCGTTTTCTCAGTAATTCATTGCCACAACAAACCGCTTCTAAAACTCAACCTTCCCTTGTATTTTGCATTTTGCCCTACCATTTTATTTGCGTTCGTCATTGGGTGGGAAATTGGTCATCTGCTTCCAAAATCTTTGTTCTTTATTACGTTGTTTTACATATGTATCATCCTCTGTATTTGTTTTATTTTGGATTCGTTTTTGTTAACTTTAAGTTATCTTCTCATTATGTATTAAGTGGTAGCGTTAAAATAAGTTTTAGCTACATGAGTGCGTTATCACTTTATGTTCACGGTAGCAAAAGTTCACGGTCTGATAAAAATGTACATGTTCACAGAACTATATGTTCACGGTGATGACAGGTGCAGGAAAAAGAAAGTCCAGGAATTATTTGTTAACTGTAATGATAAGTTTACGGTACAGAAGTGACAGTGAAAACAGTGAACATAACAGTACAGTGAAAAAATCAGTACCTTTCTTAATGTTTCTACGATAAAAATACTAGCTGTTCATGAATATGTAAATCAATTGCAGCCAATATACGCCCTGATATTTGCCAGAAGGTTTCCAAAGATGCAGACAAAACAATGGGTTCAATATTCAACCTTCACATTACTACTAAGATGTATTGCCCAACGTTACATAGCTGTCGTTATTTTACTGTACAGACGTCTTCTGTCTAAGACCTCTGGTCAGTATGCATATTCAGATATCGCCCATTTACAAAGACTGCATGGCTAACCAGGTTTCTACTT